AAGTCTGGGGCCGATAGCTCGCCGTAAGTGGTTCCTTGAGGAAGGGCATTGGAATTTTGCTTTGAGCGACCCTGAGAAGGACTGTTAGGTTTTTGGGAAGGTGTTATATGCCCTGGAAGAGAGAATTTGTCGAGGGTGTCCCTGAGTAGGACCGAGAGTTGCACCTTGCTATTTCACTGATTTGACAATATTCGTTGGCGTTCAGGGAGGACGCTTACCAAGTGAACCACGTTAAGGTTGTATCATTTAACTCACTTGTTTTATCTTGTTACTTATCAATGGAAAGCTCACTGGGAAAGCAAAATGAATCCACTACCAATTTTGTCGGTTTAGTTTATAGCATATCGAACAACCTCTTTGGTTCTAAATCTTAGCGCAGACCTCTTCCTCGGACAACTAAAGTCTAGTGTGAATAATGAAATTTGTTCTTGATGCACTTATTCGTCTTTTAGCATATTTCGGCTTAGGAACCCATATTTTTTATATCCACGGGGTAGCATATAAGTATTTCCAGCTGTCGTATCCTATTTATGATGGACATGAGGTTGTTTACGAACAAAATCATACGAGATGCATTTAGCATCGTAGATTCGTAAATATCAGGCTCATTGGCTTATTTAATTGCCCTCTGCATTAAACTGAGAGCGAGCGATTATGCCATACGCCGTGAAATATTATCGCTGAGAAGTTATTCGCCCAAATAATGATAATATTTATGTAATAATATGTATTCAGTAATGCCGTAAACGATAAATGTTTTTGATGATATCGTTGCGTATCTATGAAAACAGTTCTGCTCATTATACGAAAGTTCTTGCCTATTTTAAATATGAAGAAACCATAATAAATTTTTTTATTCAGAATGATGCCATATTTTGGCATAACTTGAAGCGAAGCGGGGAACCCGACGAATCGACGCTGCACGCCGCTTGCCCTGTCTTAGCCGGCTCGAAGTGGGTAGGAAACAGGTGGATGCACGAACGAGGGCAGGAATTCATACGGCCATGTACTTTGAAAGAAAACGATTATGAATAACCTACATTTGTACCACTGCTGCTGCATTCGTCTGCTATTTTTGTTCCTTTGTGGTAGTTATTGTCCTGAGAACAAATGACATTTTTCGACTGCATTATTTGAATTGTCTAATTGACTGTTATTGTTGTTTTATTACGTTAAAGAGAACTTTCTGGCTTTCGTGCACTTTTATTAGCAGTTCTACTTGTTATGTAATATAATTATTCTTTGAGTGTCATTCTTATCATTTATAGAGGTCGATAACCTCCATTATGTCTGAAAAACGTTCATTTTCCCTTTTCAAGTTCGCTATAACAAAGTAGCAGAAGTGTTCTGTTTAAAGAGATGAATGTATTTGACGATAATTGTAATAAAAGTAAAGGTACTGTTATTATGCCAGGTATTTTTCCAGTCATATCTATTCATAGTATGTTGTAGTCTGCATCTTTTATTAAGCCCTTTGTACTGGCAGAAGTCGCAGTCTTCTGTTTAGAGGGTGAATGACCCAAAATGTTTGAAATATGTTTCCTTTGCGGTCAGTACTTGTGATTGTCCTCAGTCCTTCAATCAGTATGTGTCTGTAACTGGGGTTTCTTGATGGTACGTAGAACCACTTTTGACACAGCTCTTCCAATCGAACCATCGTTGGGAAACCGTTTTAGATTTCACAATATTCATTCATTGCTTCAGTATGACGTGCTGTAATGCGGTTTCATGTTTTTCTGTGCCACTCTTGAGGGTACGAAGCTCTTATTGGTGTATAATAATTTCATTGCATGAATTGGAGAGCGATATACCGCGAATTAACGACAGATTGTTCAGCAGAAACTGAAAGTAACCAGTCATCCGATAAGTTGGATACCGTAGTGTTTTCGGATGATCGTAGATCGTTCGAATTTACAAAAATCATAAAACGCATTAGGGCGA